GTGAAGATTATACTGTGGAAAAAAAAGAATGTATTTAAAAGTTGTTAATTAAACTGCTAAGCAAATAAGCTACTCAGAAACACCACTGTGTTTGAGCAGGAACAGGAAGCGATACTATACCACAGAGCGAGCGAGCGAACACCAAGTGACAGCGCCACCGACAGGACAGGAGCCGTTTGTTCTGAGTAATAATTTTTATCCTGTGCTCACACATTTTCTATTCTTGTCGGAGAAGCCTTTTCCAGATTCCCCGGAGTAACTTGGAATTACTGGATGGTTTGGTATGTTGAGTCTGAACATGATATTAATCATGTGGCTTTCAGGCTTTCAGCCCATGTTAACACTTACTTGGCCCAATGTGTTGGACGTGGATCTCCATTAACATCTTTAAAACACCAAATGAGGGAACAGATTTTAAAATAATGTTTTTCCATCCCTCCAGTACATTTCCAGAGAACATTTAGAATCAATCCCAAGATGCATTTAAGCTGTTCTGCCGGTATGTGGTGGTTCATTTTCTTGCTAAGACACTTTATGCTGTTAATTTTTTTTCTCTCCAGTTTGTCACCCGTGTTCGTTTTACAGCTCAACTTCAGAACTCACACAGTATTGTCTTTCTTCAGCAGGTGGCTGTGTGCTGGTTTGGCATTTTACCGCCTGTGTTGCTGTGGTGTAAAAAGTCTCTTTCCCCGCAGTGGTCTGCTACCAGTAATTACCTCAGACATCAATTTATTCTACTACAGCTTAAGTGCTAACACGGCTAATCTTGTTAGAGTGATGTGATTAGCAGGAACATCGCCCAAGATCACACCTCCAGGGTATGAGCAGTTGAGATGAAGCCTTGTCCTCTTTCTGGCCTCATCCAGCCACAACTGATGAATTATTCTGTAAAAAAGAAAAAAAAAAAAAAAAAAGAAAAGACTGGATTTACTTGGATTTTATGATAGTTGCATGGGTTCATAAAAGTTGCACAACTATAACTTGGATTAAACCTTGATGCATTTATTGAGTGCATTAAAGAAGACACTGTCAGAATATGTAATTTTACCTTTTTAATGCACCAACTCCAATTAAATAAACTCTATTCTTTCTATAAAAAAGAAAAAAGCTTTAGGGACATTAACTATGTCATTTCCCTTCTAATCTTTTGCATATCTCTGTTTTAAGATCACCAACATCTGGTTCTGCTTGTACCCAAGGAGTGTAAATCATTGTTGTAGCACGGGGTGTTGCAACAACATCCTGTCCCCACTGAGAATTATTTGCTTTGTGGAAAATACATGTAGTGATTCTGCACTCTCTGCTCACTTCCTGAGAGGTCTCAAGGGTCAGATAGACAAGATAATTCTTGTGGCAGCGAGGACCGTAAGGATGAAGAGATACCATACAGATGCTCAGTGCTGTGACAGGATACGCAATAAGATAACATTCGCCTAATGGATGATTCTTATCATTTGCAGTAATTGAAGACATAATGGAGCTTGATCATAATCCCCTGGAGGTGTAAATGGCTCTGTTGCTGAGCAAAGTGAGTTACTCTCCTCCACAACCTGCCCTTCCTGAAAAATGACAGGTATAAAAAGCGAAGAGCTATTTGCTGCACGTCACGTATTTTCAAAACGTTTTCCAGACCTTTGTACCTGCTGCCTTTTGACCCACGGTGACCTTTGAAGAACCGCCTGCCATAAAAACCTCAGCAAATGTGATAATTCTCAAATGACCAGGTCACACCTGAGTGAGCAAAAGTCACCAAACAGCACCTCCACTTAGCCCAAAGTGTTTGTTTTTCCTTTTTTTCCTTGTTTGTCTTTAGCCCAGGCGACGGCTTTCTTCAACAGCCACCACTGAAACTGAGGGGATTTGCAGGATGGCTGCCACGCCACCTCATCCATCAATTATCCATGTCAGCGACATTTGCAATAGGTTGCAGCAGAGAGGCGAGGATGTGACCTGCTTCTCAACACCTGTCAGACCTTGAGAAAGAATAGGGGGAGACAAATAACTTTAACACCAAGCTGTGTCTGACGGTTCTGTGCAATCCCTAAAAATAGAAATTCCTTCTTAATGCAGCTGGATTACACAAGCGCGCAGACGAGTTCTTTCCTTTTCGTGCCTGAGTTGGCTTTTTCCTTCTTTTCTTTTTGATCACACATGAACTGTTTTAGTGGTTTAATAAGTCACTTTCATCAAACTTACAGCTTCAATAGAGACAGTCTGGCCAAGGGGGAGTTGTAAGCTCTGAGGTATGCATGCACATAGATTTACACAATGCCGAGAAAAGGTCCATATGTTTTTAAAAAAAGCGTGGCAAATGAGTGACAGATGAATCGCATACTGAAATGCAGGAAACGCTTTGAGGAACCCCAGCAGGAAGTGGGGAAAAAATAGCAGTGTCCCAACTCCCAGGCTCCACCCAACTAATCTCCCCGCCATACACACTTTTTTGAGCCCGTGTTGCATAGTGATTCAAGGGGAATCTTGTGGCAGCTATTAATAAAGTGTGTTGACAGGCTCAGTCATAATCAGACCCTGACCGTTCCTTTCATGCTGTGCAGAGGACGAGGGACGGAGGGACTGTCGTTGGATGAGAGCTGACATAAGTGGAAGGAGAGAGGTGGCCAAAATATTGAAGTAAGACTTGAACAAAGTGCTGTCTGTGATTATGAGCATGATTTTGCATAGGCAATTAAAATGCAGAGCCAAATTGAACACCCTTAAAGGATTATGCAACAGGGCTAGATTTGGAACGTTAATCATCTCTAGCTGTCAGAAGTAGTCAATTTCATAAGACGGAAAAAAGTTGATGATTAAAAGCAGACGTTAAGGGAGAGGAGGGGAGATAGTGCTTGAGGTGCAAGGGGGAAAGTAGAGAGGAGGAGGAGAGAGAGAAGGAGAGGAGAGGTGCTATTGTGTAAGAGCTCATGTGTGGCTGTTTGTGTATCTGCAGAGTCTGTTGGCCAGAGTGAAAGATGGGTCAGGACAATATGTAGCTGACTGGCTCCAGTGTAACTCATTCATCACTGTAGAGTGTGTGTGTGTGTGTGTTTGTGTGTGTGTCAGAGAGAGAGAGAGAGAGAGAGAGTAGTGGTGGGGTGAGGAGGGGGTTGTGTGTCAGACGGTGTTCCTGCTCGTCCTGCTCCAGCGGTTAAGTTAAATCAGAGGCAGTCAGTGACACGCTGCGGTGGTCTCTCTATCTCTCAGCCCGTCCTGCTCTGAAAGCATCAACAGCCTCCTGGTTCAGCTCCACAGGTAAGCACTGACATTGCCTCGCTTTCAGGAAGGATTCTCACCAACTTTCATCTTTGCTTTCATTAATGAACATTAGCATTTTAGGGATAAGTTAGAGAAACTGTTTTCTGCTGATTCTTGGTGCAGTTCAAAAAACTTTTTTTCATTTACTAAAATGACTAATATTACTTTCAGAACCTGCAAATGAATACAAAACAACACAACAACATACTGGCTTTATTCATGAAGTAAATCAGGGCAGTTTTATTCCTTCTCTTTGTTTACTTTGTCTATGAAATTCTTCTGTGTTTAAAACCCTTAAACCAACTACAGTAAATCTGCGGTAGGAATGAGAAGAATTCAGAACCTAGTCGTGTCATCTATACAAACCCAGGTCTTATATCTCCATAGAAAATTGGATCCACTTCCCGATAAACAGTATCTCCGTGCTCTTTGAAAATCCTCGCTTATGAAGAATTTAATAGCAAAAAAAAAACACGTGAAAAGGTGAAGAAAAATCAAACCAGGGGTAAAAAGAACTGATGGAATTTAATTTATAGTTGTGTGAGTGAAGGCGACAAAAAATCATATTATTGAAGTAATAATGAGGAATGAAGAAGTTAAGGGACAAAATAAAGTGCTGCAGACTTCTCAGAGTAAAAGTTGCTGTCAAAGTTTTTAGGAGTTTCATTCCCCCCTCTCGTGTTTCCATATTCAAGACACTTGTTGTTCTCAGGTTATACGATGTTTTCTTTTTTTAACAGAATTACCAAAACAATTGGAAATAAATAAAAGATAGCAGGATTTATAGTCTCCTAGGTTATTGTAATTCAAAGTCGTAGTACAAGAAATGATTGGAAGCCTCTCAGGCACAGGTTTGTGTTGTTTGATTGTGTATGTCACATGAAAGCGCAGTTCTATAAACAGAAAAATACAGACATAACTTCTGGAGCCAATATTTCCATTAGCTGCCCAGCTGCAAGCCAAAGTCAAGTCTTTAATTAGTTCATGGACACTGTCACAATGTCATACACACATGTATTATTAATTTAAACCCTTTGATGTTTTTCTATTTCTGGGTTCATGTTAAAATGAGAGCTTTACTGTATCACTTTTTTAATGCAGTGGCAGATTCTTCAGCAGTTTAGGGAGGTTGCCTCACTTCAAGAAGCTCATGATTTAAAGCAACACCCTGCAAGCTGAGACGGAAGAGGAAGTGAGTTGTAGGAGGCTACGGCTGAGATGCACTATGCAATTAGACACCATTGTTGTTCACCTTCAGGGAAAGGAGGAAATTTAAGGTTCAGGTCTTGTTGTTGGTTAATTAACTCATGCTGAATTTGTATTTCTTTAACACCTTTAGAGATGCAGGATGCACAAAAGTCGGAGGCACCCATTGTTGCAGAGCATCCTGTTGACCAAACAGGGCTGAAAGAGGAAGGTGGGGTGAGGTGGCCTGTTTCCAGTAAGATGAACCTCACTTTGTAATGGGCTGATATAAATCATTAACTCCATCAGCCACTGATTTTAGTGGTTTTCTCTTTGAACAGCCAGATGGTGGTGCTCATGTCCGAGCAGCTGGGTTCTCAAGCTAAGGGTAGCCTCAGATAGCTCATTTGATGGGAACTTTCTCGCTGTCCCAACTTAGACAATCCTATTATTCTAAACTAAAAGTGATTTAATTTGTCCTGTTTTTAGTTTTCGTAAATAAATCCCATGTTCCCAGAACGATTCCACTTTTAAATGTCCCAAAATAGGACTCAAATGTTGCTACTATAATGTCACTCAGGATTCAGCCACAGAGATCTGGGGGGCAGAAATGTCCCCAAACTTCCTCCTAACCCTGATTTTATCATTCAGTGTAAGCAGCTTTGTTTGCAAACAACTCTGGGCCTTTGCAGCCTTTTTGTCTTGTCTCAGAGGATGCAGCTTGCGCACGGACTTTGTGAAGGGGCTGTTTGCCTTCCTGTCTGTGGTCACCCAGGGTTTATAGCTGCCATTCAGTAATGTGCCATCTCACTCAAGCTATAGCTCACCGGACAAAGCCACCTTAAATAGCCTTCTTCTGAGTCCCCTTCTTTCTGTGCCACCTTATCTTTATTATAGATATTCAGCACATCGAGCCTTGTTTGTATTAACTCAACACATGTTCCCTTACTGTCTTCATCTCCCTCATGGAAAAACACTGGCGTTAACACTGCACTAATAATAGTAAAAGAGTGTCCATTTTCTCTCCTATTTCCATTTCTGGCAATCAAAAATCTTCTGAGCATCAAGAGATTTCCTTTAATCGTTTGAAAATCCCCAAACTGTGAAACCGATATTCATTTTAATGCTCTCGTTCGCATGGTTTGATATTACAGTCACCCACCGTTATAAACATTAAGAAGCAAAACACCCGCACTTTGAATCCGAGCTTCGACATCTGTGTCGGTGCTTTATCCTACCTGTTACACTGGGGCCTGTGCAGGAAACTCGCAGAGATATTCCATTATTCTGCTGCCCTTGGCATCCACACATCTTCCACACTCGATAAGTCCCACATCTGCAGCAGATAGGGTCATTGCGTTAGTGCACGCAGGGTTTTTTTTTTCTTATTTAGTTTTTTTCAAAGAATTCACCTACTGAAATCTGCTGAAAAATTAGGATCGTTTTATTATTCTAAGATAAAACAGTTGTGCTGCTGGAGCTCAGACTCAGAGCTCAGCAGATGTGGAGGTAAAGTGTCTTCAATAGGTTGATTCGAGTAGCTTAAACTCCAATGAGATTGTGACAGGAGCCCATGGCTACTTTTTTTTAAAAAAAATCTAAATGTATAGAAACACCCTGACTGAAATGATCAGTAGTGTTTCTGTCAAAATGCGCTGTGTCCCTGCTGAGTCAGCAGTGAGACGTAAAGAGTAAAATCCTAATGCTAGCATGCCATCTTGTGGCAAAATCCTGCTCCGTTTACTCAGACTGGTAATCCAGGGAATTCCATTTCTGTCGTGACAGCTGTATAATAATAAAGGGTTAACTTCTCATTCGCAAAAGAAATCATAAATCAGTTAAACAGTTGTTCATTATCTTCAAATTGTATTTGCCTACTTATGAGCTCTAAAGGCAGAGTTATGTTTTCTTTGGCATCAGATTGGATTTACTGTAACCACAAATATTTCTTGTTTTTTGTGCAAGTTTGGGTAATCTCTTCAGCTATATTGTCATATAAATGAGGCTTATGCTAATATTATTACATCAGCTCCACTAATGACACCCACAAAGCTATTCTATTAAACATAAAGATGCTCAGCAAAGGAGAGAATTTGTTTTTTATATTCCCATTTCACTCTAAGCTTGTGCAAATCAAGCATAAAAAAAGAGAGAAAAAGAAAAAGGGAAAAGAAAAAAAATAGCCCCGAGGCCAATTTTCCGCAGCACGCAGGTTTGATTTTCTCACAGAGCAAAGTTTCCACAGAGCTGAATCCCTGCTGTCCTGTTTGTTTAGGTGTGTGCTGATTAGAAGTTCTCATGCTGTGTACAATGTATCTCGGCGCGCCGAGGGTTTAAAACGTGACATGTCTTTTACGGTGACTGGAGCCTCGAACCTCTCCTCTCCTCCCCTGCTCCCTCAGCGCTTTAGTGTTTAATGGCGTTGTTATCCAAGCTCGCGCTTTGCCATGCGGCCTTCATTAACTCAGGTCATAACACGAGGCATAAATGTTCTCCTTCCGGGTGCTGACAGTCCAACCCAGATGGAACGAGCATTTGATAAACACTGTACAGTTTTACTGTTGCCCTTCATTAGCCGAGGGACGATTATAAGGAGAAGGCAGAATGCAGGCTGTCTGAATAATGACGTTTTTAAAGGGCATTTTTGGAATATTGAATAACATGCAACATCTGTTTTTCATGGCTTCTTACTTTACAGAAATAACATAAAGCGTCAGGATGGCTTTAATGTGCAGGTCTTAAATGAGCTGGTGTAGAGTGAGCATTTTCATGGGTGCTCGTGTGGATTAGCGTTTATGGGCCGTGCCGGCAGTAATGATGGCTCCTCTCCTGGGCTGCCTGTGACATTTTCTTTTTTTGTGTGTGTGTTTCTTTTATAGGACTCGCTGAGGCCCTCTCCCAAGGCCTGTATCAGTCACCACAGACCAACCCTGCCTACAGGGACCCTCCATATAAAAGTCCTCGGATTTGGTGCTCAAAATGCAAAATCTAACGACAGAAACAACAGACGGTTTAGAACTGGCATGTGGTATGTCTGGAAACCATGAAATAATTTTCACCCTGGTACCCATCGTCTATGGCTGTATTTTTGTCATCGGCATTGTCGGAAACAGCATGGTGGTGGCTGTCATCTACTGCTATATGAAGCTTAAGACGGTGGCCAACATTTTCGTCCTGAATCTTGCCGTGTCTGACCTCACGTTTCTCATCACTCTACCAATGTGGGCTACCTACACCGCCAAAGAGTATAGTTGGCCCTTTGGAGGATTCCTGTGCAAGGCCAGTGCAGGGCTGGTGATTTTTAACATCTACACCAGCATCTTCTTCCTCACAGCGCTCAGCCTAGACCGTTACCTGGCTATTGTGCATCCAATGCGATCGAGGCGCTTCCGCACAATGGTGTATGCGCGTCTCACCTGTGTGGTGATCTGGCTTTTTGCCTTCGTGCTCAGTGTGCCCACAGCGGTGATCAGGGATCTCCACGACATCTCGCACTCTAACACTACAGTGTGCGGCATTCTGCACCCAACTGAAGAAAATGAAATGTGGTTGAAAGAGCTCCGCCTCGCCATCAGCCTCATGAAGATCCTGCTGGGCTTCCTGGTGCCCTTTGTCATCATCCTCACTTGTTATTGCCTTATTGGGCAGGCGCTGCTGGGGGCCACGCACATACAGAAGAGCTCTCGTTCGCGGGACGACGAGGTACTGCGCATGCTCGCAGCGGCTGTCTTGGCTTTTTTCTTGTGCTGGGCGCCACACCAGGTATTCCACTTCATGGAGGTGCTCACCCAACTGAAACTTGTGAACAAATGCTCCATCGTGGAACTCATTGACACCGCCATACCCTTCACCATATGCATTGCCTACTTCAATAGCTGCGTGAACCCTATCGTGTACAGCTTCGTGGGGCACAACTTTCGCAAAAACTTACTCCATCTGCTGCGTTGCTCCCGAGGTGCAGTTCCCGGGCCTCACCCAAGCATTAGCTCCAAGATGAGTGCGCTCTCTTTTCGCGCCTCAGAGGCACTGAGCCTTACAGTCAAAAAGAATGCCTCCTCTGACGTGAAGTAAAAGGGGGAAAAAGAGAGAGAGAGAGAGAGAAACAGGGTACATTTGACCTCTCCTCGCTCTTTCAGTTTGAGGTCAAAGACCTGGGGATGGAGACATTCCATGCTTTTTTTTTCTCCATGCCCAACTGTATTACCCAGCACTGAAACATCCACAATGATTGTAATGTTGTGCACATGTTTCTCTGTAGTTGCAGAATATTTATTCATATACCATTCCATGTCACATAGCATGCTGGCAAATTTTCCCATCTAACCCTATGAAATGAATGAGAGTGTCACAAAAAAGCCATATTAATATAGTATGGCTCTGCAAGAAAATATTATACAGAATTACTGAACACTTATCCCATTATTTATAAAAAGATATGCATGTTCTGCAAAATTATGTCAGCATTGTGCCTTAATGATACAGTGCAGTACTATAGTGTCTAGTGATAACTATCCTTTGCTCTCAGCAAGTCGTTCACTAGTTGGAACAATGCTAAAAAAAAAGTGCTAAGCCACTCATGAATGCTCTGCCAGTGGCAACATACATGAAATAATTGGAATTGTATTGCAAAATGTCATGTAAATGTATATTTGCAGCATATCTGACTTCAGTAACTATTTTCTGTATGTTATATAGTATAGTCAGACTATGTCCTCTTTGTGAAAATGTATATTTGTTTGCATATCAACACTGAAATGCTACCAAGTCTGGGAGTGACATGCTATCAAAAATGGAGTGCCATGTAAATAATCCAGGCTGGGAGATCATTGTCAGTGTCTTTGGTGGTTGTCTTTGTGGTATTTAAACTTGACAGGTGTGTGTGTTTTTTTATACTGTGTAGGTGTACATTTTGTGAATAGGAAAATATAATTAAAAAGAAATAAAATACAGTCCAAGGTGGATCTTATTTTTTAATAGCTGAGTGTAAAAAGAGACAAATCATCCTGATTAGTCATGAAAGCAAGTTACACATTACAAAAAACACTTCTGATAACTGTGACTTATCCAAATCAAATGACCTTGGTTTAAAAATGCCTCAAACACGCCCTGAATCAATTAATCATTGACAGCACATCACGTAGGCTCTCGTTTCTCCACGTAACACCTAAAAAAAACAGTGACACAGCAAAGGACGTATGACACATCTTTGCGTAAAAGACTCAGATTGGTGGATGTACATGCAAGCTGCGAGGTATAAGTGTCGTACACAAGGAAAGCCAGCTTCATTGCCAACATGAAGGTCCTCCTGTTTTTTGGATTGGTGGCTTTTGCCCTCGCTGACGTCACTCGCTTTGAGGGGTAAATTTACACTTTTGTTTAAAAAAAGGACTGCATTCCTGTAAACTACAGCATGTGATGACACTAAAAATATAATGACAAATATGATAAATAGAAGTACTATATAAGCCTGCGTTCTAGTTTAGGTTGATGTAATCAAATGGATTTATGTCAATTTAAGTCATTTACTGCAATTAATAAACCATTTATTAAAGCTACTGAAATCTGTGTTTATAAATATTTGCACTCTGGCAAAGGGATATTGAACTATTAATATCATATAATGATATAATATTTATAACCCTGCGGTATATAATAAAACCACAGGGTAGGGCAGCAAATGTGTCCTGAAACGTCATTTAACACAGACACACATCTATAGAGGCTAAAAATTGTACTGTTTGCATGTTCCCTAAGTTTGTGGCTTATGCAAAGGGTATTATTGTGTTCCAAAGAAACTGCTGAGGAGTGAAGGCAAAGTGTTTGTGGATGCTATTTTATAATGTTGATTTCTCTCACTCCCCTTTTTTAAACAGTGATAAAGTTCTGCGTCTGAAGCCTGTCCTTAATGAACATGTGAAAGTCATTAGGGAACTGGCTAACAGTGTTCAGGTACCCATCTGCTTTCACACATACAGGCACACACATATGTTTCATTGCTCAAGTGTTTGACTTTGCTGCCATCTGCAGCTCGACTTCTGGGCCCCAGAAAGTGCTGAGCAGGTGACTGTGGGCATGAGCGTGGACATCCGTGTGCCTGCCCAGTACCTTGACATGGTGTTCACCGTCCTGCAGCAGAGCGGCATGCAGCTAGAGTAGGTCGCTAGACAAACAATTAAACTAAAGGATATTTATCTGGATATTTTGTGCCCCAGATTTACATTCTTCACGCAGTGCTGTGACACTTTTTAATTAAACCCTATTCAGGGTCTTTATTGATGACGTTCAGGAGGCTGTTGATCGCCAGATTGAAAACAAGGGTTCTCCCAGAGCCCACAGCTACACCAAGTACAACACCTGGAGTGATGTAAGAGTCAAAACCCTTAAGAGCACCGATCTCAATTCTGATTTTCTTTTCTGGTTTTCAGTAATTTCTTACCATATTTGTCCTGTTTATTTTAGATTGAGTCATGGATGAACTCAATGGCTACTTTCAATTCTGATATGATCAGCAAGGAGGTGATTGGAAACACCTATGAGGGGCGTCCCATGGTAGTTCTCAAGGTAGGCTTACCCAAATAAATATTAAAGAATTTAGTCTAAGGAGCTTGGAAAGAAAAGCGTCTGGACTTCTTTAAGTTGCTTGAAGACGTTTCACCTCTCATCCGAGAAGCTTCTTCAGTTCTAAGGGTCAAATGGTGGAGAGTCCCAGATTTAAACCCAGTGGGAGTTTCCCCCCAAAGAGGGACATAGGACCCCCTGATGATCCTCTACCTAATCGCATGAGCCAAGGTGTGAAAACAGGTGTGGGTCACAATCAGCCAGGGTTTTGGGTGAGCTCATTGTGAAACCTGGACCCATCCTATCATGTGATTTCCTGAGGTCAGATGGCCCAGGGTGTGAGTGGGCGTTAAGGCGTCTGGGAAGCGATCTCAAAACTGGATTAGAGATGGCAGACAGTTGGTGTCGTAAACCACCGCCTCTGTTCAAAGATGGTCGCTCACAGTGGACGTAAATGGCTTCTTTCACTCCTCTTTCAAACCATCTGTCCTCTCAGTCCAAAATGTGAACACTGGCATCCTCTTTCCAAGCTCCTTAGACTATGATGACCTGGATGACTGAGAACCTTCACAGACATTAAAGAATTAATTTTTTCATTTATATTATAACTACATGCAACAATTGTTTTGTGATTACATTTAACAACCACAGATTGGTAAGAAGTCTGGTTCAACCAAGCCTGCCATCTTCATGGACTGCGGATTCCACGCCAGAGAGTGGATCTCTCATGCTTTCTGTCAGTGGTTTGTCAATGAGGTAAGGAAGATGCCAGGATGGCCGAGGCAAGCACCTACAAATAAGGAATATAACTGATTACAGCACAAATGTTTTCTTCCTCAGGCTGTGACCACCTATGGTAGTGATTCTCAGATGACTAGCCTGCTCGACAAGATGGATGTCTTTGTTCTGCCCGTCTTCAATATCGATGGTTACGTGTTCACCCACACAAACGTACGTTACAATCCATTCAAACTTAAGTTGTTTGCCTTAGTTAAAAGAAGAGATGCCTTGCACTATATCTTGAAGAATGCATTGATTGCACATCTGTATGCATTTTGGGAACTTTAGAACAGGATGTGGAGAAAAACTCGCTCCAGGAACGCTGGATCCAGCTGCCTTGGAACTGATCCAAACAGAAACTTTAATGCTGGCTGGTGCAGTAAGTATGACATATGCACAGTTAAATCTTAGACTGATAAAAAAAAAAATTGGGGTAATTTGCAATTGCATTGGTTATTTTTAAATGTCAGTTAATAGGCATTCCATAAAAAGCTAAATTTATTTACAAAAATACAAAAAACTCCAGCAAAAATATCATGTCATAGAACTGTATATTGTTATAGATTTTCCATGTATTTTAATCTGGCAAGTCAATAATATGTTTAGTTACAGTTTGGCTGCTTGGTAACATTTTTAGTTTGTAATTTATTATTTCATTTTATTTTACAATTTTAAAAAGAAAAAAAAAAACTTTTATACATGGTTTTCTATGTGACTGCAGCCATTGGAGCTTCCACCAACCCCTGCAGCGAAACTTACTGTGGCACCGCTCCTGAATCTGAAATTGAATCCAAGAATCTTGCTGACTTCATCCGCAAAAATAAATCCATTATCAAGGCCTACATCACTATCCACTCCTATTCTCAGCTGCTGCTCTTCCCCTACTCCTACACCTATGAGTTAGCTGCAGACCATGACGAGCTGGTAAGTCACTGTTATCTGCCTTAGCATTGCAGTGAGTGTACAAAACCTACCTCTGAGTCAGGCTATGTGTAATTATGAATTCGGTTCATTCAAATAATGATCTGTATGTGTGATATACATGAATATGAGCAAATAAAAAGTTTTACAATAGATCATATAATATAAACATATATAACTCTACCCACCCCATTACTGTGTTACTCTTATCTAAGGGCCACACTTAGCTGCAGCAAATCATTTACTCCCTGCTTACATGGCTCATTCTCATGGCTCTTTTACCTCTCACTGGGGTGTCCGTGGTGCTGCACAGTTAACACTCACACCCCTGCTTCAGCTCTCACACTAACTGAGGCAGATCACACGTCTCTGCCTCTCTATTACTCACTTGTAATTTAGACTGTCTTCTGACACTTTACAGAACAAAAGAACTCCAGGGATCTGTCATAACTCATCAGTCTGGCCAGAAATATCATTTCCTGCTTGTGTGTTTCTCTGGGGGTTTCATTTCCTCTTGCAACTCGCTGATGCTTTTACTGCTTTCTATAATATCACTAAAAATGTTACTGGAAACCCGCAGGGTGAAAAGCATGTATTTATAACGTGTAACAGCTATATTTTAAAGGTGGTGTCGTTTGTGTGCGTGCTTTGTTTGGTTTAAAGTGACAAATTTTAAATTAAAAAGTCCTCCAAATTCAAGCATTTCCAGACAATGACACACCTTTGCTCAGTCTGATATACTCAGATACTGTGTTGATATATATACATGTATATAGTTTAAACCTTATAATTAATTCACTCTATAAAACATTTGACTTTTGTTTGTATTTTGTATTGTAGATGGCAGTTGCTAAGGGAGCTTCTTCAGCTCTGCGTAGCCTGTATGGCACAGTCTACACCAGCGGCCCCGGTGCTCCAACTATCTGTGAGTACAGCAAATAGTCACACTTTATTGTGGGAAGATTGCATATTCAGTGATAGCTCGATAACCTATTTCCACCTCTGTCATTATGCATTATGGTGTGTTCTCAGCACACCCATCTCCATTGAGAAATGTGGCCTCTTGAAACCACAAAAGGCAATCATGAGCCACAGCTATTTCAAGCAAGGGATTATTTTTTTTGCCCCCCTGAAGTAAAATGTGTATGAAAACACATGTAGACTGTCCCAGGTTGTCAGAATGTCACCATCTCATTGATTTCCCTCACTCTCTCCTCATCTGCCCTTAGACCCCGCTGCTGGAGGCTCTGATGACTGGGCCTACGACCTGGGAGTGAAATATTCCTACACCTTCGAGTTGCGTGACGAGGGTCAATATGGCTTCCTGCTGCCCGAGTCTCAGATCAAGCCCACATGCGAGGAGACCATGCTGGCCGTCAAGTACATTGCGGCCCACGTGCAGAAGAACCTCTATTAAAATGCGGAACTGCCAGGACCCCTGCCAACTCGGCTCCTCTGTACCAGCCCCCAGCCCCTCCAACCTCTCAGCCATCTCCTGCCCGTATCCATGGATACAGGGCACCACCCGCCATGTTTCCTCACTGTGCTTGACAGAATGTCAAGATGAGTGCAAACAATAAAATCAATGATCCATCCCCACACGCTGAATCAATTTTTTTATGTGTATACGATAATATTGTGTCTGGTACACAGAGGCTTTACTGCGTACGAACAGCAATAATAACACTTTCACTTTAGGGCTCATCATCTGCTGCAATGAATGCAAATTAAGAGGGAAACATTTTAGAAACGTATACCACAACCTTTAAGAAAACATATTGTGTAATGTAACCATAATGTAACTGTGCCAAACACCAAATGTTCTTATAGTTTCTATAAAGTGTCTATAAAGGAGACATTACTTTAAGAAAACAAAGGAAAGAGCCACAAATTTATTGCACGCCTTTGGATCACAGTGATCCCTCTTGTTCAGATGGCACTGCTCCAGTAGCAGCGCTTAGGTGGGCGTGGGTATCTGTTGTTAGGGATTTTCAAAACAGGGGCACAGTATGTGACAAGCAAAGAGCACTTCTTGGCAGCATCTCCATTCTGCCAAGCATCTGCCTCGGTGGAGAAAATAAGGGAGCCAAAGACCAGCGGGAAATTTTACTTCACATTCACATTTCTGGGGTAAAATTGGAAAAGGACATTTCACTGACTGGTTTTCACGCATCACAATGCAGGGAAAAAAATTATGACTAGTTTTATATTCAAATAAAAGCAGTGTATTGACCCTCATCCCACTGATATATATAATATAGTATGTACTATATTTTTTATGACTTTGTTAGTCAGCTTGTTCGTTATATTGTCATTTCAGTGATTTCTATTTCTCCTTTGATTGGTGCTTTTTAAAAATGCAAATGCCCATGCAGTTTGGTGTGGGCCTAAATTAAAGAGGCACTCTTTCAGTGATTTAAAAGAAGAAATTTCAACATCGTATGAAGGCTCTAGGCCAGACCCAGGACACACTGGGGAGATTATGTCTCTGTGCTGGATAGTTACACGTTTATTTCAATGATAACACAAATGATTTGTACTTTAAATTACTGAAAATTAACAGACAAAAGATGATAAACAGGCTTTTACATAATAATGTTTAGATTTCTGTTTTACAAATATGCAAATTAACTGTAACATTTTCAAAAATAATAATAGTCATCATTTTTCTTTAGATTAAGTAATAAAATAACACTTTAAGAAGATTATATTTGCTTTTTGCAGTAAATTATTCTTGAGCTCCTTAGGAAATAGTCCACTGCATGCATGTTAAACATGTTGGTAAGATTGTGGTTAATATTCCCATTTGTATGCTTTTAATTCTGCCACTTGATGTCATTATTTTGATTTAAATGTAAGACAGTAAAATGACATATCATCCTCTTGCTTAATTATGACACTCCTCTTAAAGTACACTACTTGAGCTAAAAATAATTCACTGTTGTGTAATACAATAAGAGCACTGAATGACCTCCTAAACTACGGTTTGATAACTGCCTTGCTATACGGTCTTCAATCCACAAGGTGGCGACAACGTGCCAAATGTTTACTACAGGACATCTTGTTCCTGGACGCATTACATCTTCGCCGTCTTTCATTTGTCACTATAACTAAAGATGACAGGACTCAGGGGAGATACCCGGCAGCTGTTTGAAATGTCAGAGCTGTAGAATTATGTCCTGAGAGTGCAACGTTATCTCTGACTCAAATAATTTTTCCCCCTTTACTTTTTCAGAGTTGTGAATTTTCCGTAACGTTAGGAGGAGGAAGTAATGCATAATATTTTCAATAATTGTAATTTTTGTTTTCATCTGTAGGCTGTTTACCTGTAAACCTGTTGAAAGCGGTGTTGCTTGAGGTGCTGCTGTGTAGCGGTGGAGCATGTCGACAGCAGGTGGGTGTGTTGGGGGCTGTCACGTGACGCCGGGTCTGGCTGCTGTCGTCTTGGTATTTAAACCACCTCTGTATATTTAGTCGGTCCTTTTCGCCACGCAAGGCTTCTGCAAAGTCCAGTCTACAGAGTAGCTGCGACTTATTCGTCAGTCATGGCTGGTAGGTAACATTTTAACACTCTCAGCGTCGATAGTAAAAAATTCTTGTTAATTATTTGTTTTTTTTCTCAAAAGTTTTAAAAGTAGCAAATGGCGCGAACTTTGGTGACATTAAATTACATTATGTAGCTAATATAGTCTTTTGTCACTGTTCTCTTTGTTTTTGGGTAGTTGTGTTCCCTTGTTGAATAAGAAGTTTAGTATTCTTAAAGTGGTTACAGTCTTACTTTACATAATTAACTCGTATTTGTCACAGTGACCAGCTACTGGTGAGACATAATTACCGTGTTACTACTTTTTATAACTGTTCCATTTTGTCATGTATATATTAGGAAACTGCCAAAAGTAGGTGCAGTGGACACAGTGCGATAAAATCATTTCACAGGGTACCTTTTTAGACTACTTTACTATCATTGGACCTTAGTTTGAGACCTACTACACTACTCTGTGTCCTAAGTCGCCATAATTAACTTTTAATTTGTGGTATAAGCTTACTGGGAACCGTCCCCCTGACTCAAAATGAAAGGACCCTGCTGCCTGGACGGTGACTTCACTGTAACTTGGGTTGTTGCAGAGCTAATTCCCATCTTTTATGTGTTTTTTTAGTGTTACATTCATATTGCAGAAGGGTTTCTACCAATTGAAAAGGGGGCGTAAGAGAAAGGAGGTGTGGCACTGTGAAAAGGCAGTGAGACAGAACAAATTTTCCTGGCAAGCTGTGGTATTTGGAACCATTGTTCTCCAACTGGCCCAAACTTAGAAACTCTGGGCTGCTAGCATGTCAGACATACTCTATCTATTGTGCTCTCCTTGCCCATTATTGGTATCTTACTGCCAGAGGGTTAGCGCATAGGCCAAATGGGATTGGTGTTGGCCTAACTGCTAGTCACACAACTATCCCAGCTGCCATGCTGATTTCGTCATCTCAGTTTATATGTCCTCTCACAGGCAAGCGGTTGTTCCCAAGACTTGACTTGGCAGATTTTCCTCCCAGCAGCCTGAGGTGGTGGTACAGAGTAGATGCCACACTGCAAATAAAAATCACCTTAATGAGACATTTAAACCTTTATGGGGTACTTTGCGAGAAAACTTTTAGTGAGGTTAGATTGTGTTGCTCATTCAAAAACACTTGAAATAATCAACATATTAATTATTTGGATCATTCATGCTTTAGAGAATCCACATAGAAACACATCACCTAAAAGGCAAAAGGCTACAACTGCAGTGTAATGTTTTTGGTGTGTGTTTCATATTCCAGTAAACTTTAAAAATACATGCAATGCAGTTACACTGGAGGAAAATATCTACTATCCATCTTTTCACTTCTTCAATTTAGAGTCACAGGAAGCTGGAGCCCATCCCACCTGTCTTAGGCGGCGAGGTCACCAATCTGTCAAAGGGCTTGGGGGGAAAATAGACTAGCATCTTTCCATCATTTGGTCATTCACAGAAGAGTTATGGAAATTCTTTAAATGGGATGAATTCATTGACTAACACATCCATCCATCCATTTTCTTCCCTTATCTATGGAAGATGTCCAAGCAGAGAAGCCCAGACCTCCCTCTACCTATCGAAGGGAACACCACGGTGTTGCCATGACACACCCCAATCTCTTGGGCGTGCCATGGGTCTACCTCCTAGTAGGACATTCCTGGAACACCTTACCCAGGAGGCATCCTTGTCAAATGTGCGAATTACCTCAGCTGGCACCTTTGGATGTGCAGGAGTAGTGGCTCTACTCTGAGCCGCTCACAAATTAGTGCACTCTTCAGCATGTGGACTGTGTGGGGCAGCCCCACACTGCGAAAACGGAGGCTTTCGAAAAATATGACACATTTAAGTCATATGATGCAGTCATATGATGCAGTTATGTGACCAATTCAACTAAGACAACTAACCAATTCAACCACTTCATAACATTTAGAACAGAATCTGACTAACACACGAGTTTGAGAGCATTCTTAAATTGTATGTACTATATTAAGAAGCAACTTTAAGTTAAGCAACTCAGGGTGTGCCCAATCTCTTCTCATCTTGGAAGCGAAGTAGGGTTGGGCGTGGTTAGTACTTGGGTGGGAGCAACCTTTAACCAATTTAATTCAGTTTTCTTTCTTTACAGATCAGGCATTTGTGACATTGGCTACCAATGACAGCTATGCTCGGGGAGCAATGGTTTTGGGTAAATCCCTCCGTAAGCACAATACAGCCAAGAAGCTGGTGGCACTCATTGGTCCACAAGTATCAGAGCCTAGCCAGTAAGAAACTTTACCTACATTCACTTTTTCTCACTCATACACATTACCGTTCCTGTGAACGCTTGTTTTCCACATGGGTGGTTGACAGTGATTCATTTCATAGTATTGTAAATCATTAGGTCTGTGCTGAAGAGGATCTACGATGAGGTGAGGGTGGTGGATGTGCTAGACAGTGGCGACACTGCACACCTGGCCATGATGAAGAGACCCGATCTGGGCGTCACCTTCACCAAACTCCACTGCTGGACCCTCACACATTACTCCAAATGTGTTTTCATGGATGCAGACACTATGGTGAGGCTAACAGGTCATTTTGCTTCAGCACAAAGAAAATAAAGATGCTGCACATTACTGGTGTGTATAAACATGTGCTTTGTTTGTGCATCTCAGGTTCTTTCAAATATAGATGAGTTGTTTGATAGAGAGGAACTGTCAGCTGCTCCTGACCCTGGCTGGCCCGATTGCTTCAACTCTGGCGTTTTTGTTTTTCGTCCTTCTGTGGAGACTCATGGCAAACTGCTTCAGTATTGTACAGAACACGGCAGCTTTGACGGTAAGCTGCCGTAAAATGCCGGGATGCATTTTATAAAATGTATATTAAAGGGCTATTATAGCATTTTCAGGAATGCACTTGGTTCTATGCAATGACTAATGACATGTAACATGTTTATTATTGAGATTCAGGGTTGCAGTTAGCGAAAATTTATGTTTACATCTACTTTTCATGTTATTGGCAATGATATAGCAAGGGAGGAACTTCTGCCCTTTTAAATTCCTTTTTTTTTGAGTCAAACA